ATGTATATGTGTGTATGTGTATGTATGTATATGTATATGTGTGTATGTGTATGTATATGTGTGTATGTGTGTATGTGTATATGTATGTGTGTATGTATATACATATATCCTTCTTATATATATTCTTCTTGTTTCTTTTTGTTTGTCTGTTTTAATTTTATTTAAAAAAAAAAAAATGAGTAGATGAACTTAAATCTATAAAATGTTCAGAATCTTTTTTAATTCAAAATATCTTTTGTATATTTAAATATATATTATGAAGTTTATTGGATATGTATACGCATATGTACGGATTTGTAAATTATTTTTTCAAAATTTTTTCTTTTTTATTATTTTCAAACTTTTTAGTTTTGTCAAACTTAAAAATTATTTTTTCAACTTTTTGATTTTTTCAAACTTTTTAATTTGTTTTTTTTTTAACTTTTTTTAATTTCACTCTTTTATACATTATTGGAAATTGTAAAATTTTTTTTATTTTTTTTTTATTTTCACGAAGGGGCTTGATGATAAGACATTTTGTCTTCTACTTGCCCTAGTCAGCTTGCATTTGTATAAATTTATTTGAATGTAAGGTTAACATTGTAAAATGTGTCAAATGACGAAAAATAAAAATTAAAAAAAAAAAAAAAAATCTTTATGAAATTACCCATGCAATTAACCATGGGCACAGTGGTCAGAAAGGTTTCAAAATGCGAATTAATTATAACTAATAAAGTTATGGACAAAAAACGAATTATTTAACATTTTTAGACATTTTTATTGACCATAATCAAACAAAATAGTGGTAAACTAGTTATTGAATATAACATTTATTCGACAAAATAACTTATTTTAGAACTTAAAAACTCTCACAAAAATTTAACAAATCTAGTTTTTTAATATGTTTGAACTTTGGCAAAAAGACTACAAAAATAATATTTGTTGTAATTCAAAAGCTCTCACAGAAAATTTAACTGATGAAAATTATTTCAAATAGTAGAAATTTGGAAAAAAAGATGACAAATATTTTATTCAAAAACTCAAAAACTCGCACAGCAAATTTAATACAAATTTAATACAAATTTAGTTTCTAATATCTGAAATTAGGCAAAAAAAGCCACTAAAACTAATTAATTCACTTTTTTTTTAAATTATCACAATTGAGATGAATTATTAGCATCATATGCAGTGCATTGCAAAAGACTTAAAACACTTGGAGAAAGCTCTCTTTTTTGTTGGGGTCTCTGATGCTTAGCAGTGTGAGTTTCTTGAATGGATGGGTCACTCACATGCATCAGCCTGTGAAATAAATCATCCATTCCTTCCTTCCATGATGACTTTCGTAAATGATGAAGGCGAAAATTTCTGAGAAACTTATTGTTAGCCTCTGAGGCTTCTTCGCTTGTCAAACCAATGGGCAATGGACAATCAAATCTTTACCATTTTATGAAGAGTTAGAGGTATATGATACCAATCAATTCCATTTTCTTGATGGAAGTAGATCTTTTCAGTTTCTTGGCACAAGTTTTCAGATTTTTGTGAATCTATAGAAAGTCCTTATGCAAGAGCTTCCCATAATGTTGTTATGATAGATGATGGCATTGGTACAATTTTAATCAGCAATCTGGATGGGTACCGGTTGAGTGATCAGCAATGTCCTGCCATTTGGAATCTTGCCAGTGGAATATTTTTATTGAAAGGTGCTGAAAGAACATCATCCATCAAACCCATACTTAAAGTACAGGATTAACTTCAGTGAATTGCCATTTTAAATGAGAGCTGAAAGGAGATACTCATCTAAAATCTTTTGAGTGGTTTGATCCAGTAACTTTTGGATTGGGACCCAAGCTGAATGTTCCTCAATTTAAATACCATCAGGACAGCACATTTTTTTAGCCTCAACTACCAAATTATAGTTTGATCAAATATTGTCATTACTCTCTGTGCAGGCATATTTCATTGAGTTGTATTGATCTATGGTCATACCATTCAACTAGAGAAAAGCCAAAGCTTCCATTGGAGTTATTTTCTGAATTCTATGTTTCTCTGAAGTAATTGCTTTTATTGCCTTTAGGACCTTTTCATCAGTTTCACCTGAACATTTTTTGATCAACTTTCCCATGAAATTTTGTTGTTGAGAGGCAGCTTTGGTAATAGCTTCTGGCTCATGTTCTTGCCTTATCTTTGCACTTGCAACTTGTTTTGCTCTGACCAATTTCTTTTAGAATGGAAGCTCCTTTCTTCCAGCTATTTTTTCTTCTGGAGAACGCTTCTTTGATGCATCTTTTTCTTGTGAACATTTACAAGCAGCAATCTCAATGAAAGTGTTGGAAAAAAAGACTGCATTTGATGAGCTGTTAAAGAACTTTTCAAAGTTGTAGGAGTGTTTCTTATACCTCGAAATAGCATGTGAGAGCAAGGTATTTAATTTGTTAGGTATAATCTCAACATCTGAACAAAGGAAGCACTGTATGTGATCTTTTTTTTTTTTTTTTTTAATTCAATTAATTCTCCTCCTCAAGGCCGAGAAGGCCACTACAGACAAAGAGGCTACTTATTTGTGGCTATAACCCTCTCTCAACTCTATAACTCCGAAACACGAACCTTGACGAACAAGGCCGCTGCGCGGAGAAGCGAGTTGAGCGCGGTACTACCAGGGACGTGGTGGGGATCGAACTCGGAACAACTCGTTTATGAAGCGAGCGCTCTACCACTACACCACTACCGCATTTGATCTGTAAGAAGTTGGAGCTGGCTTTGACGATCTGTGAATGGAGAATCATTTTCCTTTATCTCTGTCCATAAGTCTCCATTTGTGATTGGAAAATCCACATTTGGGTCATCATCCAAATTAACTTGTGCCCTAAAATAATTTTTCCTCTTTTAATGTTGCTTATATTTTCAGCTAATTTTGTGAGAATTTGGTATTTCTAACTTTTATACTTTAATGAAAAGAATAAAATTCTCTTCTTTTATAAAATAATAAATTCACTTACCTTAGGTGACCCAGTATTCACAAGCTGATAATGCTATTTTTGCAAAATTTATTTTAAAACTTCAAATAATAATCTTTTTAAAACGAAAAACTATTTTGCAAATGGTGAAACTCGTGCAAATATTGACTGTTTTTCTCGCGCAAGAAAATGCGCGCATTTTATCGCACAAACTGTAACGCACACAGAATAAAACTGGATTTTAAAACGTTACCAATATTGAGCAAATCATTTTGCTAAAAAATTTTGCTTTTGTACCATATAGTCAAAATATTTTTGCACTTCAGATGAAGATTATTAAATACAAATATTGCAAAGGTATCTAAAAAGAGTTGAATTACAATATAAAATTTTAATAATTTACAAAAGTTGACTTTTCAAAATCCCAATTAATTCGCATTTTTAGACCTTACTGACCACTATGCTTGGGTTTTTCCCTTAAATCTTAAAAGTAAAATCAAAGACACTAGGGCACATTCGCATCCAAGACGGTTGACTTTCACAAATAGAAATATGCTTACCTTGGTGCTCAGAGATCTTACTTTCAATTAAAGAAACATACAATCTTCAATCTCTGGTAGAGTTCATTGTTGGAGTTTATGTACCACTTTGGTTTGAAATCAAAGTAAAGTGGAAGTGGACTGAAGAACCTAACCATATACTCAAGCAATTAAAACTTCTGTGTCATCAAAAACTTAAAGTTAAAGACATTGTAATGCTCTATGTTTTATCGTCTTCATCAAATCTTAAAAATGAAAAGTTTCTTCAAGCATTGTTATTGTTGTCTTTGTTAGTCTAGAAAAAACAGGAAAACAATTTGCATTTAAAACAATTTTAAAATTAAGAGGAGATTCAGAATACGGAAACACTAATATAAGAAGTAGAAAACATCATATACATAATGAAAATGTTGATTCACTTTTTTGATCTCATTAAATGGAGTTTGGATAAAAACGAACCTTTACTTACATGCAAGTTTAAAAGGATGAATTTTTAAAATGACACTTCAATCTATGTAATTTCTTTTCCTGTTCATGAGCTATTAAAAGATGTGTCCAAGAAGTTACGAGAACTTCTCAATTGGTATTTGGAAAAGCTAGAGATGGGTTCATCAGAGCAACTAAATCTAGAAATCATGCCCATGAAGCAATTAAATAAAGACCTTTTTAAATTATTTTAGACAATAAACATTTTTAATAGCTTTCTTTTGCTTTGGACTGATATTCATGATCACAGTAAATAAATTTAACGTTAAATATATTGCATCTTTTTGATAACATTTTATTTAGGACCAATATTTTTTAAGTCTTTAGAAACATTATGAATTATTGTAGGAGCTATATTATTTATTATTTATAGAGAAAAAAAGTTTTTTTCTTTGTCTAATATTCTAGAGCAAAAACGGTATACTTACGTATACGATTTTGGATGACCTTAAGAAAAGTAGCAAACAAAATAATGTTTTATTTGTTTAGTTGTTTTTTGATGAGTGCATTACGATAAGTTTATAAAAAAAAAGAGCAGAAAGTGCTAAAACACACATTATTCAGCTTGCTTTTGTAATTGAGTAAGAAAACATAAAGTTCATTAATCTTCCTTTTGTTTTGAGCTCGTCAAAATGTAATATCTTTTTTGGTTTGAAAAATTAATCAAGTTTTTGACAGATGACATGATGAAATATCCTTCATATTTTATATACCCAAGATATAAAATATGTAGGACACACACACACAAATAAGTATTCCAATGTAAATTTCTCCTACGTATACTCCTTTTTTCATCTTATTCATGTATAGTTAAGGAAATGAAATTAAAACAAATTTATTCATAAGTTATATACTTGCTTGATTTCATGAGCAACGTTCGTATTTGTTGTATAAAACATATGTTACATAAATAAAACTGCTTCCTGTTTGAAAAGAATCAAAAACTTCTAATGTTAAACATCTAATTAAAAAAAAAAAAGAAATCCATTGCAAAATAATCATTTACAACAATTTAAAAAATAATTCGTCAAATAAAACTTTTTCATTCATCCTTGAAATAAGATTTTCCGTATCCATAACCTTTATTATATGATCCGCTATAACCTCCATATCCACCATATCCATACCCTTTATCTAAAAAATTTAAATTAAATCGTTTATTTAAATCGCTGATTAACATTTAAGCAATGTTTGCTAACATGCGAAAAATGAACAGAAACATTTTAAAAAAGGTTTACTGTATGAACTATAGGTGGGATCTTTTTTTATAGCCGCTTTAAATTCGTCACTGTAATAGTTGCTTCCATATCCGTACCCTTTGTTGTATAAGCCACCACCGTATCCACCGTATCCACCGTAACCATACCCTTTGTCGTATAGATTTAAAAAAACATTCAGTGTGATATAAAAACTTATAAACATTGTTTTTTTTTTTATTTTAATTGAAAAATTACTTTAATAAACATTTTAAAATGATTTACTGTAAGAATTATAAGTTGGATCTTCTTTTACAGCTTTTGATTCGTCTCTGTAATAGTTGTTTCCGTATCCGTACCCTATGTTGTATAATCCGTATCCTCCGTACCCTTTGTTGTATAATCCACCTCCATATCCTCCGTATCCACCGTAGCCATAACCTTTGTCTAGAAGATTTAATAAACATACAATGTGTAAATGTAAACAAATACGGACATATATAGTACTTTTTTTAATCAAAAATCTTTTTCATAGATAATAAAAACATGGCTTACTGATTGAATTATAAGTGGGATCTTCTTTTACAGCTATTTTCGGTTTGTCACTGTAGTAGTTGCTTCCATATCCGTACCCTTTGTTGTATAACCCACCACCATATCCGCCGTATCCACCGTAACCATACCCTTTGTCTTAAATATTTAAAAAAACACTCAGTGTGATATAATAACTTATAAACATTATTTTGTTTTTTTTAATTGAAAAATTACTTTAACAAATATTTTAAAATGATTTACTGTAAGAATTATAAGTTGAATCTTCTTTTACAGCTTTTGATTCGTCGCTGTAATAGTTGTTTCCGTATCCGTACCCTTTGTTGTATAATCCAAATCCGTATCCCCCATACCCTTTGTTGTATAATCCACCTCCGTATCCTCCGTATCCACCGTAGCCATAAACTTTGTCTAAAAGATTTAACAAACATACAGTGTGTAAGTGTAAACAAATACGGACAATTATAATACTCTTTTTAATCAAAAATCGTTTTTATAAATAATAAAAACATGGTTTACTGTTTGAGTTATAAATGGGGTCTTCTTTTACAGCTATTTTTGGTTCGTCACTGTAGTAGTTGTTTCCATATCCGTACCCTTTGTTGTACAAGTCACCACCGTAACCTCCGTACCCACCGTAGCCATACTCTTATAAAACCAAATTAAATTAAAAAGTAAAATTAACATTTATATTTACAATTTATTTTAAAAATTAAGGCATTTTTTATAAAATTTCATTATATATACACAAAAAAGAAATTTTTTGATAATTAAAAACAACTTTAAGATTAAATATATGTCTAACGAAGTAATAAACTATAATTTTAAAGTTATTTTGTTGCTTACACTTACAACTTATTATTAATTTAACTAAAAAATTTGAATTAGTACTATATACAACAATTAATGAACATAAAAATTAAAACCTACCGTTTCCTTTATTGTACAAATTGAGTATTTTTCCACTTCTCGCATAAACGCAAAGGTTTAGGAAAACCACCATAAGCAATACGTTTATTTTGTTCATGTTTCAAGTAAGGTTAAGTTAAACTTAAATAACGCAACCTACTCATACTAACACACTCAAAATATCGTCTATTTATGCAACATTTAACTTCCTTGTTAGTGACGCAAATAAACGAACAAAATTGGAACTTCAATGCAAAAAACTTATTTTTGGTATTTTTATTAGTATTTTTATTGGTATTTTATAACTTGTTGTGGATGTTTTTTGCTTACTCAGTTAACTTTTTTGAACAACGTTTAATTAAAAATTTTGAGACGGTAGAGTTGTATATTTATAATGTAAAAAGATTTAATAACTTACAGCGGTAGAACAAAGTTTGGACGAGTACAAACTTGTTAAATAAATATTTTTTGATAGAAATTAAAAAAAAAAAAAAAAAAAACTTTTAGAGATGCGTTATTAATTATTATAATTTTTTTGTTTTGTTTATTAGCAAAGTGTCCAACTAGTTTGAATTAAAAAAAAAATCAAATATTAGGTAACTAAAGAAATAATAAAAAGTTATTTAAATAAAATACAAAAAAAGATTAGAAATGTCCTTCAAACCGTCAATATCAAAATTCTGCCTAACACCTCCCAAATTTAAAGACAAACAATGGTGATGATGCACTTTGTGAAACAGGCAAGAGAATCAGAAAAAAGTTGCATTCGAAGAAATTCTCTTTATTGCCATAGTGTGCCTGATCACCTTATCAAGTCCCATTGAAAACATTTGGACTTGGATGGACTTTAAAGTGTGCAACGTTTAAATTAAAATCAAAACTCACTTAAACAAGGTTTTTAAAAGCACTTGGAACTCAATTCCAAAAAAACTTATTTTTTTAGCACTAAATTGAAAGAGTCAATGCTCAGACATGTATTTTAAAGTCAAAGATGGCTATTTTAAGCACAGAAATTTATTGTTTTTCACTGTTAATTATAAAATTATCCAAATTTACTTTTTTTCCCTTTTTTTTTTGTATTTTATTTAAATAACTTTTTATTATTTCTTTAGTTACCTAATATTTGATTTTTTTTTTTAATTCAAACTAGTTGGACACTTTGCTAATAAACAAAACAAAAAAATTATAATAATTAATAACGCATCTCTAAAAGTTTTTTTTTTTTTTTTTTTTAATTTCTATCAAAAAAAATATTTATTTAACAAGTTTGTACTCGTCCAAACTTTGTTCTACCGCTGTAAGTTATTAAATCTTTTTACATTATAAATATACAACTCTACCGTCTCAAAATTTTTAATTAAACGTTGTTCAAAAAAGTTAACTGAATAAGCAAAAAACATCCACAACAAGTTATAAAATACCAATAAAAATACTAATAAAAATACCAAAAATAATTTTTTTGCATTGAAGTTCCAATTTTGTTCGTTTATTTGCGTCACTAACAAGGAAGTTAAATGTTGCATAAATAGACGATATTTTGAGTGTGTTAGTATGAGTAGGTTGCGTTATTTAAGTTTAACTTAACCTTACTTGAAACATGAACAAAATAAACGTATTGCTTATGGTGGTTTTCCTAAACCTTTGCGTTTATGCGAGAAGTGGAAAAATACTCAATTTGTACAATAAAGGAAACGGTAGGTTTTAATTTTTATGTTCATTAATTGTTGTATATAGTACTAATTCAAATTTTTTAGTTAAATTAATAATAAGTTGTAAGTGTAAGCAACAAAATAACTTTAAAATTATAGTTTATTACTTCGTTAGACATATATTTAATCTTAAAGTTGTTTTTAATTATCAAAAAATTTCTTTTTTGTGTATATATAATGAAATTTTATAAAAAATGCCTTAATTTTTAAAATAAATTGTAAATATAAATGTTAATTTTACTTTTTAATTTAATTTGGTTTTATAAGAGTATGGCTACGGTGGGTACGGAGGTTACGGTGGTGACTTGTACAACAAAGGGTACGGATATGGAAACAACTACTACAGTGACGAACCAAAAATAGCTGTAAAAGAAGACCCCATTTATAACTCAAACAGTAAACCATGTTTTTATTATTTATAAAAACGATTTTTGATTAAAAAGAGTATTATAATTGTCCGTATTTGTTTACACTTACACACTGTATGTTTGTTAAATCTTTTAGACAAAGTTTATGGCTACGGTGGATACGGAGGATACGGAGGTGGATTATACAACAAAGGGTATGGGGGATACGGATTTGGATTATACAACAAAGGGTACGGATACGGAAACAACTATTACAGCGACGAATCAAAAGCTGTAAAAGAAGATTCAACTTATAATTCTTACAGTAAATCATTTTAAAATATTTGTTAAAGTAATTTTTCAATTAAAAAAAACAAAATAATGTTTATAAGTTATTATATCACACTGAGTGTTTTTTTAAATATTTAAGACAAAGGGTATGGTTACGGTGGATACGGCGGATATGGTGGTGGGTTATACAACAAAGGGTACGGATATGGAAGCAACTACTACAGTGACAAACCGAAAATAGCTGTAAAAGAAGATCCCACTTATAATTCAATCAGTAAGCCATGTTTTTATTATCTATGAAAAAGATTTTTGATTAAAAAAAGTACTATATATGTCCGTATTTGTTTACATTTACACATTGTATGTTTATTAAATCTTCTAGACAAAGGTTATGGCTACGGTGGATACGGAGGATATGGAGGTGGATTATACAACAAAGGGTACGGAGGATACGGATTATACAACATAGGGTACGGATACGGAAACAACTATTACAGAGACGAATCAAAAGCTGTAAAAGAAGATCCAACTTATAATTCTTACAGTAAATCATTTTAAAATGTTTATTAAAGTAATTTTTCAATTAAAATAAAAAAAAAAACAATGTTTATAAGTTTTTATATCACACTGAATGTTTTTTTAAATCTATACGACAAAGGGTATGGTTACGGTGGATACGGTGGATACGGTGGTGGCTTATACAACAAAGGGTACGGATATGGAAGCAACTATTACAGTGACGAATTTAAAGCGGCTATAAAAAAAGATCCCACCTATAGTTCATACAGTAAACCTTTTTTAAAATGTTTCTGTTCATTTTTCGCATGTTAGCAAACATTGCTTAAATGTTAATCAGCGATTTAAATAAACGATTTAATTTAAATTTTTTAGATAAAGGGTATGGATATGGTGGATATGGAGGTTATAGCGGATCATATAATAAAGGTTATGGATACGGAAAATCTTATTTCAAGGATGAATGAAAAAGTTTTATTTGACGAATTATTTTTTAAATTGTTGTAAATGATTATTTTGCAATGGATTTCTTTTTTTTTTTTAATTAGATGTTTAACATTAGAAGTTTTTGATTCTTTTCAAACAGGAAGCAGTTTTATTTATGTAACATATGTTTTATACAACAAATACGAACGTTGCTCATGAAATCAAGCAAGTATATAACTTATGAATAAATTTGTTTTAATTTCATTTCCTTAACTATACATGAATAAGATGAAAAAAGGAGTATACGTAGGAGAAATTTACATTGGAATACTTATTTGTGTGTGTGTGTCCTACATATTTTATATCTTGGGTATATAAAATATGAAGGATATTTCATCATGTCATCTGTCAAAAACTTGATTAATTTTTCAAACCAAAAAAGATATTACATTTTGACGAGCTCAAAACAAAAGGAAGATTAATGAACTTTATGTTTTCTTACTCAATTACAAAAGCAAGCTGAATAATGTGTGTTTTAGCACTTTCTGCTCTTTTTTTTTATAAACTTATCGTAATGCACTCATCAAAAAACAACTAAACAAATAAAACATTATTTTGTTTGCTACTTTTCTTAAGGTCATCCAAAATCGTATACGTAAGTATACCGTTTTTGCTCTAGAATATTAGACAAAGAAAAAAACTTTTTTTCTCTATAAATAATAAATAATATAGCTCCTACAATAATTCATAATGTTTCTAAAGACTTAAAAAATATTGGTCCTAAATAAAATGTTATCAAAAAGATGCAATATATTTAACGTTAAATTTATTTACTGTGATCATGAATATCAGTCCAAAGCAAAAGAAAGCTATTAAAAATGTTTATTGTCTAAAATAATTTAAAAAGGTCTTTATTTAATTGCTTCATGGGCATGATTTCTAGATTTAGTTGCTCTGATGAACCCATCTCTAGCTTTTCCAAATACCAATTGAGAAGTTCTCGTAACTTCTTGGACACATCTTTTAATAGCTCATGAACAGGAAAAGAAATTACATAGATTGAAGTGTCATTTTAAAAATTCATCCTTTTAAACTTGCATGTAAGTAAAGGTTCGTTTTTATCCAAACTCCATTTAATGAGATCAAAAAAGTGAATCAACATTTTCATTATGTATATGATGTTTTCTACTTCTTATATTAGTGTTTCCGTATTCTGAATCTCCTCTTAATTTTAAAATTGTTTTAAATGCAAATTGTTTTCCTGTTTTTTCTAGACTAACAAAGACAACAATAACAATGCTTGAAGAAACTTTTCATTTTTAAGATTTGATGAAGACGATAAAACATAGAGCATTACAATGTCTTTAACTTTAAGTTTTTGATGACACAGAAGTTTTAATTGCTTGAGTATATGGTTAGGTTCTTCAGTCCACTTCCACTTTACTTTGATTTCAAACCAAAGTGGTACATAAACTCCAACAATGAACTCTACCAGAGATTGAAGATTGTATGTTTCTTTAATTGAAAGTAAGATCTCTGAGCACCAAGGTAAGCATATTTCTATTTGTGAAAGTCAACCGTCTTGGATGCGAATGTGCCCCAGTGTCTTTGATTTTACTGTTAAGATTTAAGGAAACAATCACAGGGTTAATTGCATGAGTAATTTCATAAAGATACTTTTCATCATCAATTTTACAACTTCAGAGTCAACTTCTATTATTGCATAAGGAAATTCAATTTTTATTATGCTATCTTTGACTTCGAAGCTAGTAACTTTACCTATAAATTTTCCCATAAAACCAGAAAAAAGTTTTTTCAATGCAGTTTTTCCGTCAAGCTGAATTGTTAGATGTTGGTGTTAGAAAGGTAGTTCAT